GTGAGAATAGATGCTATTTATGAACTGAGAAATGAAATGAATGAGCTGTCCTTGTCTTTTCATTATCAAAAAAAGCAGAGACTATCACATGAAGGATATTGCTGCTCCTCTACTTGTGCCAAAGGACTATCTGTCATGGGGAAGCTGAAGAAACATATATTTCTGCCATTCTAGTATTTCCAGCTGTAAAGTTTCCTATTAAAATTCTTCCTTTGCATAAGTAACATATCCCTCATAGATGACAATTTCTACAACAAAATCCTTAATGCCATTAATGATTTGATATTTCTGAGGATATTATAAAAGGCATAGAAGAAGGAATACAGAAAAAGAGCTATGTAGGTGTAAGGTTACACAGCAGGGAAGTCCACTGATCTCAAAATACTAGAGACCATGAGGAAATTAAAGAATTGCAATAACGTGTGCAGAGAAAATCACACTTGGATGTAAACTGACTGCTTCTGGATCTTACTTTTCTTCTGGTGTTTTATTGTTTTACTTAAAATTGCAACATGCGTTCTTGTACAAAAGAGAAGATAAAGAAGTTGACTCCTGTCAATCTGTCAATGCTATTTAAGTCACTCATGTCCAGCAAATCCCAAAGTAGCTTTGTATTAAAGTTATTACATTTACTTTTCCTCAAAATCTTTCCTCCAAGAATCTCAAAAGAGATCAGGGGATGTTGAGAACAGTTGGGAATCTGCAGGAAGCCCTTGGCCCTGTGGTAAGCACGTCCTCAGTTGTGGTAATTCAAACGCCTTTTGTCTAGAAATCACCCTGGACATCTTGTAGACACCTCTGCATTGTCCTTCCTTGTTCCAGCTGGGGGGGAGATTCTCCCATAACAACCTCTTTCACGGTTGTTTTGCAAATCTGCTTGTAAACTTCAGAAACTGAGAGTCCTGTGGTGAGTTAAATGACTGATTTGGTTTTATGTTTAAAAATAAGCAAAAATGAACTCCAGATGTAAATTGTAGTTCTGTATTCCTGGGGCTGTGTTACTTTGACCTTACACTGATGCAAAAATTTGTGGTAAGACAATTAATAAAATCACTTATTTTACACTGTACCTTAAGCCTGCGGGACAGAGTATGGCTCCTAGTCCATCCGTGTAGCTGGTACATCATCATGGCTTTTAATTGGACTCTGGCATTTCAATGAACTTCTTCAATCCCTTCCTCACACAGAGCACATCATCAGTGAAAGGCTTTTAATTGGACTCTGGCATTTCAGTGAACTTCTTCAATCCCTTCCTCACACAGAGGGTACAGAATTCAGGGAAGGCTCATTTTGATTGTGAATGTCAAAGGATCTCCTGAACATCTCCCACTGACTGGAGGTAGACCTCTTTGCCTGTGGCAGGTTACCTCAGAGCTTTATTAAGAGAGGTGTTCTTTTTTTCGACATTTAATTTTCCTTGTTTTGCTAAAAGTAACATGAATAAATAAATAACCTGAACAGCGCTATAATAAAGGATCAGTGGGTTAATTGGAAAGATGAGTGGAAAGTGATTGTCCCCTCTCCTGCTGAGCACCTGCTGCCAAGTTAATTCATGCAGCAGTGCTGGAGGTTGTTCCTGGAGGAGATTCCTGCTGGTTTGTCAGCTACGAGTAAGGGGAATGGCCACAGAGAAGAGAAAGCAAATCAGATAAACAGAGTTTATTGCTAATCAGCTGCTAGCATCTATTTTCAAGTTCTAGGAACTGACTAAAATGTCAATTAGGACTTCACTCAAGAGTCACGTATCCAGCAACACCAAGTTATACTTATTTTAGGACACAGCAAAGAAGGGGAAGGAATTTCTTGCTAAACAAAATTCCCAGTGCAGAATTGAGTACTTCCCATCCACTGGCAAAACCATTTGGCAATTTCATTTTGCATTTCCTGTTGATTACGTCAGTTTGTTTCTGGGCAAAACAAATTCCACTTTAGTCTAACACAGCAGTTTTTAACAAAAAAAAAAAAACCCAACCAACCAACGAACCAAAAAAAACTGTGTAAGAAAGGTTATTCTGTTCTCTTGCCTTGCATCTCTTCTTACTAGTAATAACTATTCAGCCATTACAACTTCTTTTACACTTAAATATTCTACCTAAATGTCCCAAACGCATTGTGTATCTTTTACTTGATCTCATTTCTTTTGAACTTGAGTTGGTAATTATTACTGGTGCCAGGTGGTTTCTTGCACTCACAGTAGCTTCACTGATTGGCAGAAATGGGCACTTTATTTTCTCCATCCCTCCTCCTTCCTCTCATTTTTTTCTGCACTCTTCAATTTGTCTCTTAATAGTACTCTTCCTTTTTTACTTTGTTTTACTGTCTGATTCTGGTTTATTAGAATTTTTGCACACAGGCAGAGTAGCAATGTGTCAGAAATATGGAAGGGATCTGAAGCTGTCACTAACAACAGCAGCTGCTTTTTTCCATTTCTTCCTAAAGCAGGTGCCTTACCTCTTGTGGGTATCTGTAAAGGGCAGGGATGCCAGAGCTCAGCATATCAATCCTTTCCTCCAGCTTGGGCAGGGGCCTGGACCAGGCTTATAGGAAGGAACAGGCTGCATCAGTACAGATTTCTAGAGCACAAGAAGTCACTGTGTAATAATGTAATTGTAAAAGTCTCTGGAGTTCTGAATAAATGACTACAGATAGGATGCTTCTGAGTGGGATTTGCCTCAAAGACAGAAAGAGCTGGAAACTGAGCTCCACGTATTTTTTTTTTCTCCTTCGGAAGGTTAAAGACAAAGGATTAAGGATGCAATTTATGCCAAGATATTTTGTATTTTTCAGGAGAAAGTCAAATGGACATATACAGTTATTTTTCAGTATTTGGAAATGGGGGGTGCAAAGGAAGAAAAAAATGCTGTCGGATAAAAAATGTACCTTTTAGACATTACAATAGGTGTGGTACTTTGGGAAAGCTGTTCCCAGCAATGGTCAGGGAAACTTAGCTACAGTATTATTTCACTCACATAGTATTTCCCTTAGTTCCTCGCAGCTAGAGAGCGAGTATGGCACTGGACGTGGTTTCATTTGCACACGTGTGTGTTTACATCTCTGACACATTAAACCAAGGAGGAGTGCGGGTTTTGCTTAATTCTAAATATGTGCTAATTGTTGACTTAAAACATACTTGACTTTTCCACTGCATCATAGTGACACATGTAACACTGGGTATCATCAAGGAGTTTGGTCCTATTTGAGTTGTCAGAATTCTTAAGAGCTTATACCTGAAATTTATCTTCAATAAACACATATGCTTCCTTTAATTTTGGAAAGGGCACAAGGAAGGACTAGACTATTTATTTAGCTCCAGGGTGCCATCAATTTTGATGCAACTGTTTCCAACTTGAATAGATAAAAACCTAGGATTCCTGAAACAAAAAATCATTAGGAATCCTTTTTGTTCTGCAACAGTATTATGAAGTGACCATATTTATGTTGCTTTATGAAGTAATTAATTTTTGGGTTGATCTTCATGTGTTATATACTCTAAACACTGTGAAAAAATGCTGAAATGATTACATAAACTGCAATATAAATTATAGTAAGAACCTCTCTAGGCTGCACAAGTGTGACTGCTGGGTGATTCCAGCATGGAAGTAAGACTGCAAAATCAAAGACCCTGCACTCCATGGAAGGAATCCAGTAAGACTGCAAAATCAAAGACCCTGCACTTCAGGAGGAGCCTATTTGAAGTTCAGTTTCTTAGTCGCTGAATGGGAAAACAAACCTTTTCTGTTCTCTTGTATGAGACAATTACTCCACAAGCTTAAATATCAAATAATCTTTCTTCATCTTTTGTTTTATGGCAGCAATGAATTAAATGCAGGAGTTATCTACTAATTGATATCTTGATATAGATTCAGGTCATGATAAAGCTTACTAATATTTCGCTCTGTAATCATTCTGTTCACTACCTTTATTCCTTATTAATGTGGCTCCTTACTAAGAAGGACTTCAAGAAGAAAATACTGCATTTAAAAATTGGCGTTTTTGGATGTGAAAAATGTCTTTACAAGATTTCCTTCATTAATGTTTCCCCCTTCTTCCTTCTCTGCATCTTTCTCTGGCTTTTGTACTTCATAGACTGCCAGCTATTTTGAGCATATTTGTCTTTTCTGTTGGGGCAGAGATACATGCTGCACAATACCATGGGCTGCCAGAAATGTTCCTGGTGATCACAGATAGTGCAAATGAAACAGTTCTAAACTAGTCCATGTTTTAGAGTGAGTACCTGACCAGCAGCAAGATCAAAGTAGATACAAAGCTTTCTTACAGTCACTGGGGTATGTCTGGGTAGAATGTCATGTACTCATATGCCTCTGTATGTTTCTAAATTTACGTATCTGCATCTGTGTGCAGAGGTAAGAGAGTCTTAGACTCATTTTCTCTGCCTGCCCTCATAGGAGACACTTTCTGGTTTGGTTTCTTCTATTTTAATCACTGAGGCCCAATAAACATTTAGATCACTCAAAATTAGGCCTACAACTTTTAATACATTCAGCTTTTCCTTTGTTGCTATATTGCTTACAAATAAAAAGGAAGAATCTTTTATAGCAGGGCGAAATATTGTGCAATTTGTGCTTATAATGCACGCAACATTTGTTTTAATTGATGAATGTGCTTTATTAATTTTGGGTTACTTTAACATTTCATTTCTCTGTGTTGTACTGGTTGAATTTTTAAGACTCTGTGACTTGAAAAACAGTGATGAATCATGATGGGGAAGGCAAGTACAGAGCTGTATGCAGAGAAGAAAGTGAGGGGCTGCCATTATGATGATATCAAAAGACACAAGAGGATGCACCATTGTGCTCCTTCCTTTGGGGCATGGGCAGCCAGACAGAAAGGGGCAGGATTTGTGTCACACACAGCTGGTGTATTAGTATCATAAAGTGCATCTGTGTTTGTATAGAGGGTTTCTGAACGCATTAAGACAAAGCTATGATTTTTAGCAGTTACCCTGCACGGTAAAACAATGCCATTTTTCCCTTTTTCAGATAACACTCTCAGCATATTGGCAAAGCACAGTGGCTTCAGCCGGCAGAAGCAGGAAGTCTATCTGCTGCCCATCATAATAAGCGACAGTGGGAATCCCCCCATGAGCAGCACTAGCACCCTCACCATCCGCGTCTGCGGCTGCAGCAGTGATGGCATCGTCCAGTCCTGTAACGTCGAGGCATACGTGCTTCCCATTGGACTCAGCATGGGGGCCCTCATTGCAATATTAGCCTGCATCATTCTGCTGCTGGGTACGTATTCACTGCACAGCCTGGTGGTCCAAATTGTTCTGATTCCTGGGTGGCTGTAAGTAAGCAAAGAAGTCACAGAGAAGGACATACAGTCTAATAGAGTGTAAGCTGCGGTACTGCCAGGACTGTGTCCCTACTGTACTAAGAACTCCACAAAAGCAGGTAAAGCAAAGTCCCAATCTGAAGTAGTCTTACACCCAAGGTAGATAATGAACAGGTATGGAATATGGAACAGGAAATCACATCAGGTATGTTGAGCAGCAAGGCGAACACAGCATATACTGCACGTGATGGAAAATGGATTTGTTGTCTCTTCTAAGACTTGTAAGAGTTTATTCTGGATTGTAATGGCATAGAAGACATTACAGTTTTACAAGATAAGAAGCACTGTATATTTTAATAAAACATAGAAAATTCAAAATTTGTAGACAACATCAAGCGAGGGAGAGAACAGTGAAGGAAGAGGCCTGTTTCTGCGCTTTGCAGCTTCACTTTGTAACTGAGATTTACATCAGTAACTGAGATTTCAGCATTAAGCTGCAAAAACAACAGTGTAACCAATTTAGAGCTTTTTATGCATCTGTCCATGTTTTCTGAAACTGATGTATCTAAGCTCGCTCTTTCTCCTTTGCTGTCTCATTCTCTTTTCAGTTATATAGTGTGAGTCTGTTGCAACACATGAAAAAAAGAAACCAATTTCCTTCTGTCACCAAGGCTATGTTTTCAGAAAAAATTCTCTCTAATTTTGGAAAACTCCATCCATAATGTAGATCATTGTAGACTATGTTCAGTGAATAGCTTGACTTCACCTAGGTTTGTATCTTTTTCGAAAGGAAAAGCTATCTAAATCTGAGGCTCAAAAGTGGAAGTATGCAAAATCTTATTGCCTGTATAAAATGGAATTTGAAATGTAAATATGAGCTGATAATAGAAAACTAGAGGACTGACCAGGGCTTCTGATCAAATTTGCATCACTTGAACGGGGTTGAAGTTACAGGTCTTTCAGCTTTTCTCTACCGTTATTACTCTTATTTTCACAAAAAGCAACCTTCCTCAACTGTGTTTAACAGGTAGTGCTTGAATTGGAATTTTTTTAACTAATCAGTCTGTGATGCTTTCTTTGCAGTCATTGTGGTGCTGTTTGTAACACTAAGAAGACATAAGAATGAGCCTCTAATCATCAAAGATGATGAAGATGTGAGGGAAAATATAATTCGCTATGATGATGAAGGAGGTGGAGAAGAGGATACAGAAGCTTTTGACATTGCAACTTTGCAGAATCCGGATGGAATTAATGGATTTTTGCCTCGTAAGGATATTAAGCCTGATCTTCAGTTTATGCCCAGGCAAGGTCTTGCACCTGTTCCTAATGGTGTTGATGTTGATGAATTTATTAATGTAAGGCTTCATGAAGCCGATAATGATCCCACGGCTCCACCATATGACTCCATCCAGATTTATGGCTATGAAGGACGAGGGTCAGCGGCTGGTTCCCTTAGCTCTTTGGAGTCTTCTACATCAGACTCAGATCAGAATTTTGACTACCTCAGTGAATGGGGTCCTCGCTTTAAAAGACTTGGAGAACTTTACTCAGTTGGAGAAAGTGACAAAGAAACTTGACAGTGGATTACAAACTTTTTCACTGTTGACTTAATGATCATGTAATATTCTAGGGCCACTGCTGTTAGCTAAAACTAATGTGGCTTTTTGTTTTAGAGGCAAGTTTAGCGCCAGTCATCTATAAAATCAATTACATTGTAATGTTGAACCAAAAAAAAAGTATATGTTAGGAGGTTAAGTCTTGTGGAGTGTGAAGTAAAGTATGTGGAGTGTCTAGAAGTCTTTGGATATTTGATATTCACTTGACCACTCTGAAGATGGAGATTTGGATCTTTGATTATCTTCAGTGAGTTGAAAAGAACAAAAAGAAATTGGTGCTTTCTTAGAAAATGGACTTGCAGGGATTTTGCTGTTTAACAGTAGCTCCTGCCAGTATGTGTAAAGCTAATGGTTTGTTTCTGCATTGCCAACAAAGATCCCACCACAGAAATGTTAAAAGCAATATCTTGGTCTTCTTAGCAATGCTGAATAGAAATAGCATTGTAAATTCCTACTGGCTTCTACTGTGCAGTGACCATACATTGTACATACAGTAATTGTTGGCCACGTAACCACAGACTGAATATCATCTTTAAATATTGTGTCAAGCCTTAAAATATTCACATGTTCTTAATCCATTCCAGTGATGGGTAATAAATCCTACCAATGTGCAGAGATTCAGAGGCAGGGCTACAAAACCTTGCTTTACAAAAGGATCTTTTTCTAGAAGAAGGATCAATCCTGTGCTTCGTCTTCTGAAAGTAAAGAAAAAACTGTGAAGGGGGGATGGACTTACATATATGAAAGAATTGCTGATTTTATTGCTAAAGATCGAATTTATTTGTTTAATCTTTGAAATAAATATTTTATTGATGTCCATTACGGCTTTTATTTATTAAGACTGATAATCTATAGAGTAAGATTATGAAGAAAACTAAATTATATCCGTTAGATTTTTTTCTATATATAATGAATGTTTAATACATGTACATTTTGAAAAGAGAAATGACAAATTGTTGCAGGTTAAAGCAGTAACCTATCCATTTGCAGTAGCTGAATTTTAAGAGAATGCTGGCAGGAATAAACCTTTCCCAGAGAAAACTTTTGACAGTTTTTTATCTTCTTCATAAATCTAGTACCTGGTGTTTTTAATACAAGCACAAACAGCTGGAAGTAAACTGGTTCATGTGAATATTTAAACTATAGACTTTTAGAAATCCACACATAACACAGTACAGTAAAAAACATGCTTATAGTTCTCCACTGTATTAGAGCAGGAACCAGTGTGTACATAATTTTACTGCTTATGTTATTAGCATTTCTTTTCTATAATATTCATAGTGATGCACCAGGGCTCTTGCACACAGAGAAAGAACAACACTAGAAGCTGCAAGCATACTCAATTTGTAATGCAAACTTGCCATTTAGAAGTAGCAATTGTATAATAAAACTACGTATTACATGCAAATCATTTTAATTTTCTACTTTGTTTTGAAGCTATATTATTGTTTGTTTATTTACTCCATGTATTGTATTCAGAGAAACTCCTGTATTGTTTCCTACTTTGTGAAATATATTTTTATAAATACTTTTCTTGTTATTGCTTTTCTTTCAGTTACCTGTGTGCTGCAGAAAGGAATCTGCCTGAATAACTTCACAGTTTGTTGAGGAATGTAGTTCCTTCAAAATCATTTATATATTAGTTGAATATAGTCAAAATAAAAAAGGATAATACTTGAAGCAATTTTTGACAGTGTTTGCAGAATTAGATATGCAGCAGCCTGTGACCACAGCAGTTATGTGTGTCTAATTCACTGCGCCATGCTGAAAATTAACCTCACACTTTTTTGTTAAAGTATTGCTAGTAAAAACAATCCCCTCTCTTTAAGCTCCTCTGTAATGTTTGCTCTGCAAACAAAAATGTCTTAATACAGCACCCCCAATTTTGCCTGTATTTCAAAATGGAAACATTTACTTTGCTTTAGCTGCGGCATGGCTGGTTTTAATGACTGTAGTTTGCAGACAACGAACATGCTAACACCACTTCTATATGTATTATAAAGATTTTATAGAAATTAATGAAATATCCAGAAGAGTGAATTTACAATGCATTAAAATAACATGCCTCTGAATAACTTGATCTAGCAATTTTGGTAATACTGTAAACAGTGAGATCATCTAAAGATAGAAAAGAAGCAGTCATCAAGATTTCAATGAAATCAAACATATTTATGTAACAGACTGTAATAACAGGGAAACACATTCTTACTAATCACTTGCACCAAGTGCCAGGGTGCTGTGAATTGCCATGCCAAATCTAACAGTAGTGGAAATACAAAAGTCTGATTGGAAACTTAGACTGAGCCAATTTCTAGCCTACATCCCACTCCTGGGAGTGAAGGAAGGAGCTGTGAGATATGGATCACATTATTGTCTATAGTCACATAAGCATTTAGGGCAAGTAGCTCTGACTATGAGTTATAGTATGTACTGTAGAGGTTTGCAAAGCTCTTTTGTAGGAAAACTCACAAATGGATAACCTTCTGATTGCCTTTTTGATTGAAAGTTCCATCTGAGACCACGACAGCGCATTCAGTAATAAGATTTCCAGGAAAAAAAAATCCCATCACTGGCACTGTAGGAGAGGCAAAGCATGACAGAAATCTCATCATTGTCAGTCAAAAAGAGCTGGTAGCTACTACTGCTGGGCATAGCTGTAAATTGTGCATTTATACAGGTTTTAAACATGAATATCTACAATGCAAAGGGGAGAAAAAAATTAATGAATTTGTGATCTGTCAATAGCAACGTGTTATTTCTTCAAGTCACTGCTGCTCCACCAAAGGGAAATGATTCATTCTGTGAACTAATTCTGTGTAATTTGAATATAAAATTTCTACCGATACATGTTAGAGGGTTAAATGTTGATCATTCAGTTTTCCAGTACTTGCTCCTTTTTTGGCAATGAAATTAATTCAGTATAAAATTGTTTTGGATAACAACGGTATTTAGGGGGATTAGAATCCTATCGTCTACATTTCACATCTAGACTTAGACATATTAGTGACTTTTTTTTAAGTACATGAAATGGTAATTCATCTTTTTCAACAACATTTAATTAGCAATTGACTCATTGTAAGTGACAAGGAAAATGCATTAAATTAGAATTATTAATACTGATAGATTTGAGAATTAAATTCTCAAAATCTTTTACAAGTGTCAAGCGCCTTAGAGTCCCATTGATTCTGGCTTACCTTCACGTCCCTGTGTCTTATAGTCATTTGTCACATCTGCTGAAATAAATCATCCCGTGTATAAAAGCTGGAATTCTAAGTTTTCAGCCTGAACATTGTCCAGACACAAAATTCAGCTCACGCATTTAAATATGCAAGTACTGTGAAGTAAATGTGTGTACATGTTTACTAATTATAACTCAGATGACTAAAGGTCTTCAACATGTTCTGTCCTTCGCAGGAACTGAAAGCAGATGCTTTTTGTGTGCTATGACCTTGAAATCAAATCATGGAGAGCTCATTTAGATACGAGACATTTTTCACCTGATACCATTTATACCTTTTTGTCTATGATGAATTTGAAATGAGTGTGAAATATACAGGAGAGAAAATGGCTGAAGATTTTCATTTAAATCAGCAGTTGCTGATCACAGGAGAAACATTTAACACTATGGCAACTCCAAATACCATCAACTATGTCGCAGCACAGCAGTAACAATTCTCAATCTGGAGAACAGACAGAGTGTCTGCAAAATACTATGTTCAAAATAACTTGTTTGTACAGCTCTGCTAGAGATGGATCTGCTGATTTTAATATACAGAGAAAAATGAATCAGTTATACTCTATCTATGCAGTTACATATGCCTATGTATGCGTGTGGTAACTTTTTTTAACAGCCTGCATGGTCATTGAATTCTAGAAATGGAACACACATTCACAAGTATTTCTGATCAAAAGAAGTGAAAGAACTTACTCCAAAAAAATATTTTTCAGATTTGGAAACTTTTTAGCAGTGGCAGGATGTCCTAGCAAATTAAAGCTTAGTAAAAGGGGGGAAAAAAAGTGGGAGTACTCACCATTATTAGAGTTTGCTTTCACAATGTAGCAGGTGTCATTAGCAGCAGATAGAAATAGAGAGCATTGATGGAGTGAGCAGCGGAAGCTTTCTGTAGTCTATCGTTCAGATAAGTTGGACTTGTATTATTTCTACATTTGTACACTATTTGTGCAAGATAATATTCTGGCTTTGCAAAAGGTGGAAACCAATTTAACTTGCTGTATAATTCACTGTGATGGGTTTTGTAATCACACTGCAAAATGAGTCTAGCTGCTGTATTATACAATACTGATACTGGCTTATGTGCTGCGGAACTAGTCCCTCTCCAAATAATGTCATAGTATTCTAAATGAGAAAATATAAAAGCCCTGACAATGCTTTTTGTGCAACTGCAACTAAGACATCTTCCAAAATGGCTATTAAAAGCAAGCTGAAGCACAGAATTTCTGGCAGAGCCTTGTAAATGTGCTCATTAGCATTGCAACACAACTATTCCTTATTTTTCTCCTCTACCCCTCCCACATCGCAAAAATTAAACCAGTGAAACGATCAAAATGAAAATTTCAGCCTTCTCTTCAGAAGGGATATGTAGTAATTTACAAATTTCCCTTTCTTCTGCTTCCACTATTTCAGATGCTTGCTTAAATGAAGTCTGTAGATGACAGGCAGACAGAAGGGATGAGTAGAAGGTACCTGTTTTATTACATGAATGGAGAAAGCACTTACGGTATGAGGGCAGTAGTACCCTCTCCTCAATTCTTGTAAAAACAAAAATGTTGCAGATGTTCCTCTACAGAGGATAACACCCCACATATATCCAGGGAAAGATCCCCTTCAGTTTACGCAAACAAAAATGTTCTTTTTTTTCCATGCATCCCCAACAAACTACTTAATTCCAGTACTAGTATCCCAAAGTCCTATGCATCAAATGAACACAGGCCACCTATTCTGTGGCAGATACCTACATACAGACCCTATGCTGATTATAAACACATAGATTTATTTCTTTACTGATGTGGAAAGGTTCTGATTTGTAAAGTTTGGCATAACCAGCCAGTAAGACAGAAGGCAGGTAACATGGGTAACTGATGCTAAAAGGATGGACAATTATGGAATGGGTCCTCAGTTTGTAAGTTACTTGGGGTTTTGTGTCATCTAAGTCTAGCCTTGATTTTTTTTACCTTCAAAAACACTTTTTAACAGCAAAAGTCTGTTATTTTCTGCTCTTCACAGCAATTTGGGTTTTGAATTATAAAACAGGTCTTCTGTTTGGGAGGAGATGTAGGGGAACTTTTTGTCATTTCTTTCTTTGTTAATGGAACTTTCACTGATGGCAACATTGACACAGTTCCCTCTGCCAAATTGCACAAGCTGACAGTTTTAACAATTAATATTAAAAAAAGATGTGAATTTTTAAAAACTGAAATATTATTTATATTTATATAATTGGAAGAAATGCAAAACCAGTTGAATCTCCTTTAAAAGTCCTACCTTTCAAGCCACAAATGTGATCACTTTTGGACTCATTGTCAAATCCCCTGGTGTACCTGTATTCACATGCAGTTGGTACAAGTTCTACATGCAAGGGAATACCTCAGTCACTTTAGACATTGTTGAGGAATAAATTTCCTATGTTTTATCAAAAAAACATGTCATGACTTAAACCTATGGACAAGGAAAGAATAGGTTTTTATACTCAAAAACACATGCACAAGTAGAAGCCAGAGCCGAATTCCAAGTCCTGGTCCAGTGTCTCAGCTGTGAGATACAAGCAAGTGGAGAGCTGATTAGAGGTAATTAACAGGTTATTTTGGCAATACATACGATCTCCCTTCTTCACACAACCAAGGGGTCTTGTTGCAACTACCAAGCACAAGGTTATCTCGTAGGTTACCCGAGGCAGGGGGTTATCCCAGCCTCCTGCCAGGTAAGTTCCATAGCAAAGTGGTGAAGGTGGCCAAGAGCCTGTCACCTACAGAATGGGAGAGGTACTTTTCTAGTCATATTACAGAGCTGTTCCAGTCTCCCAGGCAGCACTGGCTTGCTTTCAATTTCTGCAGGTTCATGTCTTAACTGTTTCAAGCTGTAGCAACCCAGTATAACCTGTTATACCAAATAAAGGCAGGGTATTGTTAGGTAAAATGTCATTGCAACTCAGAGCAGGAGATACAATTAATCCTTGCAGAAAAAGGTCAAGTATGAATCATCAAATGCTGTAGGGTTTTAATGGATATTTTCCAGCCCTCTTATTTCACATGAAACAGCAGCCATTTATTTTATTGTATATAATACTTCTTCCTTAAATAAAAGTAACAGTTGATGATAAAGGGCCTTATTTAGACTGTTATAATGTCTGCTGGGTCTTTTTTATAATTTACAAAACAAACAGGAAATCAGTATCTGACAAGAGCAGACAACTACATTACCATGTTCTTTCTGTCCCATTCTCATGAATGCTTTTGGCTTGTTTACCTAATTAATTAATTAAATTTAGGATTGTGTCGGGTCTTGTCCCTGTGGC